ACCTTAAAGCCGGGCCGACTTCAGCAACACCGTGTCCGACTCCATATATGGGCCGACATCGTAATCGTCGACCGACTGAACGGCGCCCGACCAAATCTCAGTTGATCTCCGCGTCAACATCCGACTTCGGCACTTTGGATTTCACAGGTCAATGTCGGACCTCGTCTCTCCGACATCATCCCAAACACCGCGACCGATTTCAGCGGCCAGGCTCAAGCCCCGACCTCGGAATCGCGACCGATTTTCAAGTTGCCACCCAACTTCTCATCCTCTATTACCGACCTCCTCATCCTCGACAACCGCCATTGACATTGCTCTCAGCCGTCTAATTTTCCAGATCCAAATGGAGTTATTCTTGCAACGTAATTCCCAGCCGACCTTTATTCTGAAAAGCAGGCCAGCAGCTCATAATTTCTTTTTGCCTTTGATTAATGGGCCTTTGGGCCCAAGGCTAAAAAACAAAGAGGAGGAACTACCTGTAGTTGGGCCGAATTTATTTATTCAAACCGACAAGGAGTTGGGTCGAGTTCACTTAATCCAACTGCTGGAAGCCGGGACCGGGCTCAATCTTTTTTCAACGAATCAACCTCACTTATATATTCTGGGGCCGGTTTCATTTATCAACGCCGGGGTCGGTTTCATTTATCAACGCCGGGGTCGGTTTCATTTATCAACGTCGGGGTCGAATTAATTTATTAAGTCTACTTCACTTACTTACGACGGGGCCAAGATTATTTATCCAAATCAAATGGAGCCGAGGCCGATTATTTATCCGAATTGACGATAGCCGTGGCCGAACTCATTCACTCCAAGCTCAGTTATTTATTATCGCGGGGGCCGAATTCGTTTTTATGCTGGAGCCGGAGTCATTGATTTACACTCGGAGCTATCCCGACCCATTTCTTCACGTCGAGGCTGATCATCTCTTTACGACGTCCCTATTTTGCTCGCCGTAGAGCATCGACTCCGGCTGAGCCAACGTCCCTATTTTGCTCGCCGTAGAGCATCGACTCTGGCTGAGCCGACGTCTCTATTTTGCTCGCCGTAGAGCATCGACTCCGGCTGAGCCGACGGCCCTATTTTGCTCGCCGTTGAGCCTCGACTCCGGCTGAGCCGACGTCTCTATTTCCTCGCCGTTGAGCCTCGACTCCGGCTGAGCCGACGTCACTATTTCCTCGTCGTTGAGCCTCGACTCCGGCTGAGCCGACATCATTATTTTCTCGCCGTAGAGCCTCGACTCCGGCTGAGCCGACATCATTATTTGCTCGCCGTTGAGCCTCGACTCCGGCTGAGACGACGTCCATATTTCCCTACGTTGAGCCTCTGCTCCGTATTGCCCTACCGTCGAGCCCCCGCTCCGGCCGCCAAAAAAGAAATTATCACAACAAATAAAAATCCGAGCAACAGCTCGGTACCGATGTAAGCATAGCGACACTCGGTCTCGCTGATACCCCGTAATACATCCAAATCCCACGCATGGTTTGGTTGGGGTTGAAGCTCGTCCACGTCACTTCAGCTAACATGATTTGACGGGTCCCGATAATTGTTGAAACATGAACACCTCGGCTGGGGCCATTCCATAATCGGACTCTGATGAAGTTCGGTGAACCCTATTTATTTTATGTACGGCATCGCATGTGTTAAGTTCAGCAAACTCTTAAGTTTGCAATACCGACTTACACTATTGCCGAATTCATTAAGAAGATCAACGTGGAACTCGGATTTCTATATACGTACCGAGTTCATTACACGATCTAGAAATTGCTGAATTTCATACAGCAAAATTGGTTATACACTTAACTGCAGCATATGTCGGTTCTCCATAATCCCGACCGTCCATCATATATATGATTATGCCGGCGAAGCATAACACCTGCCGGCAGAATATGTCAGACTCGACAAAATACCGAGGTATCTTTCTTTCTCGCACTACGCATCAGCATACTCCGTAATGCATTCATGCATTCATACGCGCGTCACACATACATTCAGTACATATGCGCATCGGACATACATCGTGACGTCCAAATCAAAAGAATACAATAAACCAAACGCCTTCATCTGTTTGGGCCCACACTGGTTAGGCAAAGTCAATAAGACCTTCCCGGCTGGGAAATATGCGAAAGAAAAATTCATTACACCGAGTTCTTCAACTCGGTATGATAAAGCCTTTACTTACCCCAAGTTATTCAACTTGGTAAAGCTGATACCCATGCCTTTACCGAACTCTTCAGTTCGGTAGACTAAAATCTTTATTTTTACCAAGTTCTTCAGCTTGGTAGGGCTAGAAAGTCCGTTCGTAACCGAGTTCTTCAACTCGGTGGGCAAATATATCATATCGATAACATCTTTGCATAACGATCGATAACAATACAAGGGGCCCGAGTGCCCGCACCAGCTCAAATCTATACTATTATGATCATTTCAGACGCAAATCCACCTAATGCGTCCAATTACACACGAAAACCGGGTACCAAATTACCCTGCCAGGCCAACCAGGCCCCATTCATATATCATTTTCACATAGTTGACTATCCACGCAGTCGACTCCGCTCGTCAGAACAAAAAACATGATTACCGTCAATACGACAGGCCAAAGCCTAAACACGACCAAAAATTTGGCTCCACGGGTCCCAAAGCACCCGGCCAACAGTTATACATTACTTATCACAGCTAAATTGGCTATACACGTGACTTCAGAACAGTTCTATTCAGAACATGTCCTAAAGTCAGGGGCCTACTGTTAATACCCAATTTTGGCCTCGCCTATTAAGATATTACACGTGGATATATATTATATCAATTGTCTTATTTTATGGCCCACAAATAACACTGCTTGTAATAATAACGGGCCCACCAAAAATATATATATAAACCCCAATGATGGACGTCAGATAGATAAGTCTGAGGGGGCTATTCTTTATTTTCTCTCTCTCTCTGTTTCTCTCCTGAGGAGATTCTCTCTCTTCCTCACTGATGGGGTTTTCTTCTGATAAAAACATGATTTTCAAGAATTATAATGAAATTCTATTCACAAGCTACATACAACATATTCCCAGAAATCTTATATACACACAATTTTCCGAATACCCTATGTTGATACAATTTCGCATATCAACAGTTGGAGTTATTATGCTTTGTTCATGAATGCTTGCATTTGCTTCCGCACTTAGTATTTCAGTATTACAGTATTTCAGTATCTAGAATTTTAGTCTATGCATGCTTAAATCCCGAGATGTCTAGAGTAATGAATTATACTCGGTTGCATGCCAGTAATTATAGATATTAAAGATTAAAGATTTAAGATTAAAGTTGAGTAGCATCCCGCATATTAAAGTTAAAGTATTTTCGAAAAATTAATATGAGTTTTCGAAAATTATATCAGAGCTTTCTTTTTATAGCGCGAAAAATTTACTCTGATTTTAGTAAGCCTAGACGGGGTCTTACATAAATAATCCAAATCATGTGTTTCCGGTCAAAAGAGAACGCCTGGAGCATAAGGATAACCCGAATGAGAAGAAGATAATTTCAAAATGATTTCCTAAAAAGAAAGCAGGGAGAAGATAAAAGAGAAATATTCTCAAATTTTGAGAAGAAACGGACGAAAATCCGAGTCATAAAGATAGGCACCAGGGAGTCATGCGAAGGAAAAGGTCACCTTTAATAAAGAAGTGACAGAATAATTCAAAGGCTCGAACCCAAAAGCATGTGAATACAGTTGTCCGTCCACCTACCGTCGGTGGAGGCAATAATAGAATGTCTCAACCCTCTATAACAGGGTGCTTGGAAGAAGCAGAAGATATCGTTCATTCTTTTCAGCTTTCTCAATATAATAAAATCTTTGTAATGATTGTAGTAGGCTAAGTGTTAAGTGTTGTAATTTTCTTTTCCAGAAATTTTATGTGTGTTTGTATTTACGCCTCTATTATGAGAGGCTAAAAGTAATTTCTCCTCTCTAAAAGAGATTACTTATGTAATAAAATATCATTGAGTTTATAATAAAAAAAAAGTTTTTGCTTCACAAGATCTTGTTGTAATTTTCATCTATCTTCATAATTAAGGATTGTACGCTTGGAGTATGAAACCAACCAAGGTTGTGCTGAGTGGTGTCTGAAGCAGTCGGATAACTTGTAGTTCATCTTCCCATTGGTGAAGTTAGACGGTAGGGAGACGTCCGTGAAACGAACTAGGGGCACTAACTGGTTGAATTGCAACATATCTCACCCGGAACTATTTCGGTCAACAAAGGTACGAATTATGGAGTTATTTAATTTTACGAAAGCATGTTGGGTCTAGTATTGTTCATTTTATTGTGGGAACTCTTAAGAGTAAAACTTATGTACAAAGAGACTAGGTACTACTTATTAATATAGTTGGTACTAGTTTCTTGGTAAAGACGTACAAATTCCAAAATAAACTAGTACTGCTTTTCTTAACTTAAATAAATATAAGGGTATTGTTAGAATACTTGAGGATTATTATTTTGGGGAGATTATACGGTCCTTTTACGGAATCATTCCGTTGGGGGTTGTAACCATTAGATCAATTATCCATGACGGTTACATGATGATCTAACGGTTACAAATCATGATGGAATTGTTCCGTAACGGGACTGTAGCATTTTTCATTATTTTAATGCAAGTGAGAAGAAGTGAAGTGGAAGAAAATTAGAAGTAAGGACTGAACTTGAAATTGAAAAGAGGTTTAGATACTTTTATGGAATTAGCCTTTAAAACCATAGTTTTTTACCTTGACCTGGACCGGATTGACGGGTCGACCCGGGACCCAGTCAACTCGGAGCCTGAATCGATTCGGGTGGACTATTGGGACCGGAAACAAACCCGGTCAAATAAAAATCTCATCCAAAATAATATCCCAAATTTCCCATTGCCCGTACGGTAGTGAGAGGTGGAAGTACAAACCATCGTATAAACAAAACACAAAACCCTTTCACCTTATCCCCTCCATTTCTCCTCTCCATCTCCACTCCCACAAAAACCATGGCCTGCACCTCCTCCATTATCGGCGTCTCCTCCATATACCAAGCCAGCCCGACGACCCTTGACCCCAACAGACCTGCCACGCCATCTCTGCACCTTCATTTCTCCGTCGCCGGCAACAGTTTGAGAGCTTTTTCTTCGTTGCGCTCCAAATCCGGCGCGTGCCGCGCCAACTCATTCGTGCCGTCGGCCGTGGCTACTCAGAACTCGTCTTGGTTGAGCGAGGAGGCGCTCAAGGGGCTCGGAAGTTTCGAAGACGTTAGAGACGGCGAGTACGGGGTGGATTCCTTCGACGGCGAATTGGAGGAGATTGGAACTGGAAATGCGGACGAGCTCGACATTTCTAAGATTGGGTTGCCTCAGCGGCTCGTGGACACGCTTGAGAAGCGTGGTATTAAGGAGCTTTTTCCCATTCAGGTATACCATTGTTTGGCTGTATTAGTACGTGTTTTTTCTCATGTTTTTACTTCTGCGGATTTTTTTGGTCTAAGCTGGTTCATAAGTGGGTAATGTGTCTTCTGGGGAAAGAAAGGAACTTTGTAAATGGGTAATGTAGGTAAGGAAAGATTTCGCTGCCATTTATTTTCTTTTATTTTTTTTCCTGGAAAAAGATTTTGGATTTTGATGGGTCGAGGCTCCAATGTTTCAGAGAGAACATACTATACAAGTGAAAATATGAAACACATGTAATTTCTGTATAGCATGCGACATATGGGCTGCAGGAAGATAGGGTAAATTTTGATAGAGCAGTCATATAATTATATTAATGTTTTTCTTCTGAATGTTGTTTTATCCTGTTGGCAAAAGTGCTTTGACATCTGTAGCGTGCTAATTTCTCAACTGCCCTTTACTAATTTTGCTTGGGACTTGTCCATTTTCATATCAGTGATACGGTGATACCTTCACTTTTAAATGCGTTTTGTTTTGATGTTGTTGCAGCGAGCTTCCCTTTATTTCTTGGAATAACCCAATCTTTTTCTTGATATTTTCTGCATGCAGAGAGCTGTATTGGTGCCAGCACTGGAAGGTCGTGACATAATTGCTCGTGCGAAGACTGGAACTGGGAAAACATTGGCATTTGGCATTCCTATACTCAAAGGACTTAGTGACCAGGACCAAGAAAGTGGCCCTATAAGGTATATTATGTCCAATCAGGTGTTAAAAGACACATTTTTTTTTTTTTTTAAATATGATCAGTTAAGTAATATTTCTCTATTTCGGTTGAAGACGAGGTCGGTTTCCAAAAGTATTGGTCCTTGCGCCTACCCGGGAGTTAGCTAAGCAAGTTGAGAAAGAATTTAAAGAGTCTGCTCCATATTTGAACACTGTTTGCATCTATGGAGGGGTTGCATATGTCACGCAACAGAGTGCACTTTCGCGTGGTGTCGATATTGTGGTTGGAACACCCGGTAGAGTCATTGACCTTATCAACAAAAACAGCCTGAAGTTAGGAGAAGTTCAGTACTTGGTTCTCGATGAAGCGGATCAAATGCTTGCTGTGGGGTTTGAGGAAGACGTAGAGGTCATCCTTGAAAAGCTTCCATCTCAAAGGCAGAGCATGTTTTTTTCAGCGACTATGCCTGGATGGGTAAAGAAGCTAGCAAGAAAGTTTTTGGACAATCCTCTTACCATTGACCTTGTAAGCCTTTTCTTTTATTTTAATTTTATCTGTGTCTCTCAATGCTAAGTCTTGTAGTATGATGGTAATTAAGTGTGGTTAACTGTAATGGATTTAAATTTGTTGCATATGTTGATCATGATAAAGCCAGCTTCATTTGTTATTCCGTTCAGAAAAAATATGAGTGTCACATTGTGATAGACCTACTGTTTCTTAAGTGTACCTGCTGTTTATTTTACATCCCCTCACCACATAATTTGGTTCTCCATGGCAGGTTGGTGATGACGAGGAAAAATTGGCTGAAGGGATTAAGTTGTATGCAATTTCGACTACCGCTACATCTAAGCGAACAATCCTCAGTGATCTTGTGACGGTATGACAAGATGCATTGGTTTCTGAATGTGTAGTTCTTTAATTTTCATTTATATGGTTATTAACTTGTGGACTCTTGAGAAAGATACTTCCGTTGGTGTATCTTTTTTTTTTTTTTTTCCCCTTCCCGTTGAATAACAATATTGCCTTGTCAGGTTTATGCAAGGGGCGGAAAAGCCATCGTTTTTACGCAGACCAAACGTGATGCAGACGAAGTCTCTCTGGTATTGACAAATAGCATTGCCTCAGCAGCATTGCACGGTGACATTTCTCAGCACCAGAGGGAACGGACCCTAAATGGTTTTAGACAAGGAAAATTTACGGTGCTCGTCGCAACTGATGTTGCTGCTCGTGGGCTTGATATTCCAAATGTTGACCTTGTATGTTCATATGGTCTTGTCAATAAACATGTGTTATGTGTATATATTCTTCGTGAAACTACTGAATGACAGTGAAAAGGGGTGTTTTCAAAGGAATGAAGAAGAGTGAACTTCATTGGCAGTGAACACACTTTTTAAAAAGCTCCTACCTTTTCGTATTGATGTCATATTATTCTCTCCTCTCTGTTTCATTTTTATTGAATTTTTTTTTTCCTGGTTTATTAGCAGACAATTTTATCTTAGACTTATATTTTTTGTAGATTATACACTATGAGCTTCCGAAAGACTCGGAAACATTCGTTCATCGATCTGGGCGGACAGGACGTGCAGGAAAACAAGGCACGGCTGTTTTAATGTTCACGAGCAGCCAACGTAGGACGGTGAAGACTCTCGAGAAGGATGTTGGGTGCAGGTTTGAATTTGTTAGTCCACCATCTGTTCAAGAGGTTTTGGAGTCATCAGCCGAGCAAGTAGTTGCCACCCTTGGTGGAGTTCATCCCGAATCTATTGAGTATTTCACTCCAACTGCCCAAAAGCTGTTTGAACAGAAAGGAGTGGATGCTCTTTCTGCTGCCTTAGCAACTCTCAGTGGCTTTCCCCGGCCTCCGTCATCTCGGTCGCTTATCACTCACGAGCAGGTAAAACAGTTGTCATGATTTGCTAGTAATTAATGCGTCTTATAAACGTTCAAGAGAGATTTTTATTTTGTTTGCTTACTGAGGTAAGCATATTACGGTTTCATTTGCTAGACAAGACATTTTTTTTTTCCCCGATAAAATCTTATATCCAATCACACTTATATCTTTAAAATAGAAAATGTTGATCTTAAGGATTTGTAAGTACCTACAATATCCCCATTTTGAAATTTACATTTTCTTTAAGAACAGTCCTTTATGGGGTGCACAATATCCAAAAATAGAGACCAAGGTCAATGGCATCTGTAATGTTCAAAGGCAGCGACCCATCTTGTAATTATACTGAACTTCAGGGGCATGTTTTGTAACTACCCATAAATTGATGTGATATTAAATGTTAATATCATCTTCTAGTGCTTGCAAAAGTTTGATTATTTGTTTGTTTGCAGGGTTTGGTTACATTACAGCTGACCCGTGACAGTGGTTATTCTAAAGGGTACCTATCTTCTGGGTCTGTTATTGGTTTTCTAAATGATGTCTATTCTCCAGCTGCTGATGAAATTGGCAAAATACACACTATTGCCGATGAAAAGGTGAATGTGCTAAGATACATTTTATCTTTTCTTTTACCTATCTCTCTCTTTTTTTTTTT